ACTTATCTTCAAAGGAAAGAAGACCATTCTTAGCAAACTCTAATATCAGGCCCTGATCCTCCAACGAGCCCTGCACAGGCAGGGTCCTGCATCCCCTTCCTGTGCTCCCCACCCCTAGTCTCCCCAGTCCCCCCAGTCCCCTGAAGTCAGCAATACGTTGTTAGGAGCAGAGTTCATCCCTGTGAAACCCACTGCCAGTTCAAGCATGTCCCGCTTCCATCTCCTCTCCTCCACATACCCCATACCTTATTGTGATGCACCTAACTTAAGTTCCTTAGATGCTTTTGTCTCCAATGTATCCCATTTTACCTTGGCAAGGCTCAGAGCAAATTCTTTGGTCCACCTCTCAGTTGATTGCAGCAAGCCTTGCAGAAGCCCTTTGAGAAGCCTGGAATGAAGCAGGACAGCACTGCTCCTGATCCACGAGGGCACGCGGTGGAGTGACGTTCACCCCGCCGCTGCTGCACAGGCCTTGGGTTCCCAGTTGCATCTGTGACTCTCTCGGGTAGTGCCAAAAGAGATCTCCTTGTGTTCGGCATGCTTCATCTGAGATAACACGAACCAGGTCAGACCAGTTGCTGCTTGACTCCACCTGTTTAATGCAAAGTTTTAAATAGGGTGTTATTGTTATCCATTGGTAATTATTTTTGAAGCTAAAAAGTACTGTGAAGTGTGATGTAAACACTGAACAAACACACAGTCTTTCAGGATCAGGAGCAAGGCTCTTGCCATCAGCTGAGCTGCTCATCTCAGTGTGATGCTGGGTTGGGATTCAAGTGACTTGGCATCACACTGGAAGGCTGTAGCAGAGCCCCAGCCTTTTGGGTCCCACTCCAGAGGTTTAATAGCAAAGCCATCCTTCCTGGACCTGATCCCTGCCTTAAAAAATTTAGTCTTAAGCAAAATTTTCAAATTTGTACTTGATAGTTATGTCCACCATTACAACACCAAGAAAAAAACAAGGTGTTGTGCGATCAGCTAGTGTATATGTTCACAGGGTTTAAGCTGTTACCTGAGAAAAGGCAGAAAGAAGAGAGAAGGATGAAAAATGAAAAATTAAATTGCTCAATCTGTCATCTGTAATTCAATCTGTTCATCTTGTAATTCTCTCATCTATAATTTTGCTAGTGGATGAATTACATGACTTTTCTTTGAAAAGATGACAGAAATGCTTTTGAACAGGAGAGAATAGTTCCTTGGGCAGATTGTCACCATATCCGATCACCATGAATCTTCACAATTAAATTGTATTAATTCCAGTAATTTTAGTTTTTAGTGTTTTGATAATGATGTCTTTTCACACAGTACTATACTGTTGTCATACTATTATGTTAACATTTCTGATCAGGCTTTCCTAGAAATCTTTGTTCCTGTAGGTAGACACAAATGAGAAACTTGCAACTCAACATTTTAATGTTAAATCCTTTAAGTATATTGGGTCACTGTCAGCACCTTCTAAGCCAAGGGTGTGCAGAAAGGGGAGACTCCCTTTTGGTATAATCCTTTTCACTGACTGATGACTTATCTCATATCTAGCACATACAAGTATGAACTAGGTTAAGCGATTCTTAAGAGGGCTAGGAACAAAAACATTTCCAGGCTGTTTTTTTGCTTAGCTAGCCTTGAAAGTTTAATTACTTCAGATTGAGATTGTAGAAGCAAGTAGATCCTCCACCTCTGTGTTCCCTAACCCTAGCAGAAAATTAAGAAGGAAGGTTAGTATGTAGCTCAGGGAGTTTGGTTTTTTTCATTCTGTCAAGAATGTTAGTCCAGTAAAGTGTTGAACTACCCATATCAAAATTCATTTAAGTTATCTTCTGCTTACATAATTAAAGACTGTCATTAGGGTGCAAATTGGTCAGTTAACCAGTCATGAACAGAATTCAGCAAACAAAATCCCTGACCAGGTGTTTAAAAATAGTGATTAAAAGAAACACTCAAAAAAAATCTGCTTCCATGTTATCCTAGGTCATCCTGGCCAAAACTAGATTCAGGGATAGCTACAGGTGCTCAGAGCTGTGGTACTACAGTATATGCTATACTCTATATGCTATACTCGGATTTGGTGATCAGGCGCCCAGATATGTGATACAGCACCACGTTCAGAAGGAGTGGATGCTTGGTTTTTTATACATCTAAGTATTTATAGACAAACTCAGAAAGGCAGATTCAATGGAATTTAAGGGCCCCACAAAATATTAGTATCTGATCTACATTACTGGCTTCTGATTTAATTCTACTATATATAATATTGGACCAAAACCTCACTTCATTCTAGCCTCACAATTTCTTCCCCCTTCAGAAGGAGTTTGCTGCAGAAGTAGGTCCCTCAAACTTTTAAATTAACCTTGTTGACACAGTAAATTATTCTCATTAATTTGAATTCATAGATTTTACCTATAGAGGGTATTTTGGTGCATACGCTCTCTGGGGAGCTGAAGAAATCAGAATTAGCCATTACATTGAGAAGCTTTTCTGGAACCTGGTATTATAGTCCCAAACCATATTTCCACCCTCTGCTGCAGGATGGACTTCAAGAACATCTGATGGTGAAGATTTCAGACCACTTATAAGATTCGGTCACTTTGCCAAGTTAAAACTAGAATGATAAGATATTTAAGGGCTTTTGATTTTACTTAGGGTGAGAGCGTCATTGTCTCACATCCTAGCTGCAAACCCATACTATGCACTTCTTATAAAACATCATTCTAGCTAGTATTGGGGAACAGTTGGAGTTTAACTACTCCAGGCTTTTCTCAGAACACATGAAGTGATTATTCAGTGACGTTCACGCTGCCTTTCAGCACTCAGTGAGACACCACAGCTCTCCTCTGGTGTTTGAGACAAGGTTACTAGGAGAGAGAGGCATCTTCATATTTGTAATGAATTAGAGGATTTACTCCAGCAGACAAGCATGAAATGGGTTTTCTATGCCAGGTCACTAATACCAGGAAATCTTGTAGCTCAGCAGCATTGTCAGCTTCTAGAAAACTTCTCACTTTAATGGGGTTAACTACTTCAGTATGACTTGGGACCCACGCAGGCAGTAGCAAGCCACAAAGTGCTGACTCTCCGTCCCTTAGAAGTTCTTGAGGATTTCTCTTCCGTGAACTTGCCCAAGCTGTCCCTGAACTCATGCACACTTCTAGCACACCCAGCATCCCATATCAAACATCTCCTTCTGTTTGTCTTGAGGTGTGCAAATGCCAGCTTCATTTCATACCGCTTGTTACTAGCGTGGAAGAAAATGAACAAGTCATTTTGTATTTGCCTTCTCCATGATCCTCTTCATTTTATAGACCACATTCACACCCGTATCTCTTTTCCAGGCTGACTGCTGTTTTTCCCTTATATGCCAGAGGAGGTGGGAAAATGATTGCTTATTCCATTCAGCTGGAGTAGATGAACATTAGTCTTTTGCCCTCCATTACCAAAACCAGTAAGGAAAATTCCATCCATCCTCAAGTTTTGTCAAGGAATGTGTGTTTTCTTGAGGGATGAAGTGGACAAAGGTGGAAGAAGGTTCTTTCTGCAGCTTAAATACAGCCTTGTGCAGTCTCTCCTAAAAGAACCCTTCTATAGCAACATCAGTAAGAGAGGAACTTATGTGATGAACTACAGTGCATATAATATGGTAAAGAATAGGACTAGTAGGGACAATTCATTTAACTTACTGTGCAGGACTGTTTATGCTTTTTTTTTTTTCTTTCCATTCTTTCTGTCCTTTAATGTAATTGCACCCACATGTCATGTCTTAACCTGGAGAACAAACTTTCTGGGCGGGGATCTACCTACCTACCTCTGCACACTGAGGCGTGTGTAACTGAATTTTGGGTAGTGTATGAATGTAGAGGAGTTTCTCGAACAACAGGGCCACAAAATATTGTGGGAATATATGGACAATCCAGGGTTTGTAAACAGCATGTCCTTGGTACACTGCAACAAGTAAGAAGATATGAGCTAAAGCAAAAATGTGCTAACTGCAAGTAGAAACTAGGATAGATGTGTTCTTTGTTTTATATATCCAATCACTAATTGAGAATAAGCGCGTGGACAGTATAGCTTAAACCAATGAAA